CAGAGAATGAGAGTTCTATTTCATCTACATTCTCATCAACCCTTACCATGGTCACTTTTGGGTTTTGTTTTTTTAAAACTTTAGTCATTCCATTAGCCATTCTCTTAGGTACTATTAGTTGGTCCCAATGTGCATTAACCCATGTATCAATGATGGCAAGTATCTTATTATGTAGTTATCAGCCATTTGCATATGTACTTCGGTGAAGTAAGAGTCAAGGGAAATTTTTGTGCATATTTTTATTGGGTTATATGTCATATTATTATTGAGTAAGAATTCTCTATATATTCTAGATACAAGTTCTTTGCCAGGTATGCATTTTCACTTGCTCTGTTGCTTGCTTTTTTACTGTCTTAAAAGTGTCTTTCAAGACCAGTAGATGGCATAGTGGTTAAGGCACTAGACTCCCACATGGCCAACTGCAGCTTGTGTCCCAGACCCAGCAGCTTAAAAATCACCCAGGCACTTGTGCATGCTTGCCCGAAATCCCAGGAGGAGAATGGAGAAGAAGGGATTGCAGTATGGCCATCTCCTAGTAGGGGTGATTTCTCACCTTTTTTTTTTTCTCTCTCTCTCTCTCTTTTCCTCTCTCTCCCTGGCAAGTGAACACATCCTATGGCTAAAACCTTAAAAAAAAAAAAAATGTCTTTCAGGGACAGTCCCATGGTCTACTGGTTAAAAGAATTGGATCTCACATGGCCAACTGCATGGTTTGAATCTGAGATTAAGCAGTTTGGAAAAATATGCCAGGCATGTGTGCGTGTGTTCCAGATCCTAACAGGATGAAGAAATGGAGAAGGGACTGTAGTGTGATCACACCCCATGGGGTTGCTCTCTCCCTCTCCTTCTTTCTTTGTCTATCTGTCTCTCTGGCAAGTATATGCATCCTCTGGGGGTGAGGGGAGTCTTTCAAAAGCAAACCTTTTCATTATGCTGGCATCTGATTGATCAATATTTCATTTTATTTTTTAATTTAATTTGAATTTCTTTTATTCATTCAATCACATATGTCACTTAACTTATAAAGTAAGTAAGTGTTCCAACATGAATACATTTCTCACCAGTCCAGTTGGGGATATTATACATGTTATCATCAATAGATAATAACCCATTTCTTTGTCCCATGAATGTCAAGAATCACATTTTGTTTTCATTGATTTTGTTTGTTTGCTTGTTTACTTTTGCTCTCGTCTTTATTATTTTCTTCTGTTTACTATGGATCTAATTTGCTCTGTTTCTCTACTTTCTTACAGTGAAAGCTGAGTTTGTTGATTTGAGATGTTTTTCTTTTCTAATATAGTCATTTCATGGCAGCCATATTCTCTCAGCAAACTTTCTTGCTCTTTTCTCTTGGGACTCCCATTATGTGTATGATGGTATGTTTTGTAGGGTCCTATAGGTCGCTGGAGGTGCTTTTTGTTTTTCTTATTCCTTTCTTCCTGTTCATTACATTGAATAATCTTAACTGACTTTCAAGATTTTAGATTCCTTCAGGACCAGCAGATGGTGTAATGGTTACATCACTGGACTCCCACATGGTTGACTACGGTTCAAATCCTGGACCCAGTGATTTGAAATTCATGCCAGATGCATGTGCTTTCACCCAAGATCCAGAGAGGAGACTGGAAGAGAAGGGATGGCAGTCTGGCCATCCACCCCTAGGGGTGAGTTCTCACTTTCTGTCTCTCTGTCTCTGTCTCTCTGGTGAGCACACATGCCCTAATGCAAAAATCTCTCTCAAAAAAAGATTTTAGATTCTTTCTTCTACCATCTCAAATCTGTTACTGAGTCCCTGTAGTGACTTTTTTGTTTTCATTTGAGTTATACTTTTCAACCTCATAAATTCTATTTTGTTCTTTCTTATAATTTCTATATTTTTGTTGACATCTACTTGGTGAGACATTGTTTTATGCTTTCCTTTAGTTTTTTATTTTACTGAGCACATTATGAACACCGTTTTGAAGTCTTTGTCTAGTAAATCCAATGTCTGGGCTTCCTCAAGGATAGTTTCTGTTGATTGCTTCTTCTCCTCCTGTGTATGCCCATAGCACATGTTTTTTGCCTGTGTCATAATTTTGTGTCACTAGCTAGACATTTTAAATAAGATAATGTGGGATAAGCAGATGGTATAATGGTTACTGGACTCCAGAATAGTCGACTGTGATTGGAGTCCTGGACCTGGAGACTTTAAAGTCACAGTGGCTGCGTGTGTGCTCAAAATCCCAAAAGGAAACTGGAGGAGAAGGAATTGCGGCATGGCCACCCTCCATGGGGAATGAACCCAACCTCTCCAAAATAATAATATAATGTTTCATCTCTGGAAATTAGATTCTCTCTTCTCCCCAGAATTTGCTTTTGTTTTTGCTTATTGGTGTTGTTATCTCTTGCTTCTTATTTATTTTGTGACTTTCTTGAATATTGCAGGATCTGTTTTATTTGTCATGTGTGGCCACTGAAGTCTCTGCTTGGTTAGCTTAGTGATCAGCTAATGATTATACAGAGATTTGCTGTAAGTTCTGAAACAAACCTCTCATCCTCTGCTAAGGAGTCCTATGTGTGTGTTGGAGCATGTAGCACTCAGCCAGGCAATTTTCTCTGCCTCATCCTTCATTTTTTGCTTGTGAAGAACCTCAAGGTCAGCAGGAGGTAAGACATCTGGGCCTTCTCAGGTCTTTCCTGGGCATGGGTATCATCCTATGACTGTATACGACTGTTTTGTTTCCCAGGAATGTGTTGGAACTTTTCAAAGTCCCTCATGGACATCTTATGCCCCAGTTTATCTTTTTAAGTGTTCTGGTTATCTTTTTATGTGACCCCATATTGCCACCTGGGCAGGTATGATATTAAACAATTACGGCTGACTATTTTCAACAAAAATAGTAAAGTGTTGTTAATTCTGGGTAGATTGCAGTGAAGACAAGACTTGCAACTGGGTTTTCCAGGGAACCACCAGACAGGTCAAATGATGCCATCAGCTCCAAACCTATCATGTTCCCTCCAGTGGCTGCAAGGCAGTTTGTATTTGCCATGAGTGTGGGGCTGCTGGTTTTTGAGGCTGCTGTGGGGCCGAGGAGATGAAGAATGGGAACAAGGCAAGTTAAAACTACAAAAAGCTCACTGTTCTTGCCAATATGCAGCTGCTTTTTTTGAATAAACATGCCCCAGATTGTTGCAAGCCTTTGGTTAATTTCGGAGTTCTGGAAAGATTATTTTGACTTCTCTGTGTTCTTGTTTTTATGGTGAAGAGGGTTTTCAGAGGTCCTTGCTCTGTCATTTCTGCTGACATTACTGCTGGACTGATTTCGATTGGGTCTTTTCATTATGGGTCATGTTTTTCTGCCTCTTTGCATGCCTATTCATCTTTGATTAGATGCCAGACATTGTGAATTTTACCTTGCTGGTTGATGGGTATTTTTGTATTTCTATAAATGCCTTGAGCCTTGTAATGGAATGTAATTAAGTTTCTGGAAATAGTTTAGTCCTTTCATATCTTGCTTTTAAGCTTTGTTAGGAAGAAGTAGAGAAGTGCTCATTGTAGATCTAGCCATCCTCCACTACTGAGGCAAGATCTTAAAGCATCCTCCCAGTGGCCCATGAATTATGAGTTTTCCCTTTTGGCTGGTGAGAGCAGATCTTGTGAGAGTACCAAGCACTTACCCTCTAATCTTTTCAGATTTTCCCCAACCTTGGTGGATTTTTATGCCTGTGTTAATTAGTCTTCAGTTGCACACTTAAGGAGGACCCTCTGCAGATCTCTGGAGTTTTCTCCATGTGCAGATCCTTCCTCCTTGGCACTACATACTGCAAATTGGGATTCCTGGTCTCCCTGAACTCTCTGCTTTGTCTCCTCAACTCAGGAGTTTCACTTGGCTCTGCCTGCATTCCCCACCCAGCCATGTGGCCTGAAACTCCCCTATAATGACTATACATTTGAGCAGTCATAGGGCTCACTTTAATTGGCTACTGCCTGTCTCTTAGAGATAGCTGTCCTTTGTCAACTAACATTCAGGTCTCGAAAACTGCTCTTAAATATGTTCACCTGACTCTGGTTTTTCAGGTGAGAAGGCAAATCATTCCCTGCCACTACATCGTGGCCAAAGTCCAAGTGAATACTAGCTCAGCTTGACTTGTGAAGAACTAGGGCCAGCATCTGCATCTTTAAGGTAGCGCCACTCTGGAGTCATTGCAGGGTTTGACGTTTGTAGTGTCTCAGTGATGAGGCCCTGAAGGAAGTATTTATGTTACCCAGCAGCCAGGCTCTTGTGGCCACCCTCTCCTCCATGCCCCTGGTGTGCGGCTCTGTAGGTCTGTGAAGTCTGTGGGCTCTGTGGACTCTGGGGTAGGGCATAGTCAGCCCTGTAGCTCTCTGGCCCATTCTGCCATTGGGTACAGGGCTTAGTGCTGAGAGGGTCCCAGCCTTCCTTGTTGCTGTGTACAGAACTATAACCAGATTTACTCTCATTATAGTCTTTTTTTTTTAGATTTTTGCCACAGGACACATGTGCTTGCTGGAGAGGGATAGAGAGAGACAGAGAAAAGAGGAAAAGTGAGAAATCACCCCCTGAGGAGATGGTCACACCCTAATCCCTTCTCCTTCTTTCTCAAACAACAGAGTTGGCCCTGTGGGATCCAATGTTTTAACAACCATGCCACCTGCTGGCCCCTATTACTCTGTCGCTTTTAATCAACTTCAGGTTCCAAAGGCATTCCCACAGCTCTGTGGTAAGACAGTCTAACCAATTGCATTTCTGAGGCCTCACACAGTGTTCTCTGTTGAGCTTGATCAAGCTTGCTCAGAGTAGGCCTGTTGTAGCCATCAGTGCAGAAGAAGGCACATTCCTGGCTGCACAGGTTATGCTGAAAGATGGATAATGGGCCTCAGCACTGCAGGGGAAACCTGCTCCACCCTGGGACCCACCAGCAGGCCTGTGATGCCACAATAGCACTTGTTCTGTTGATTCTGCATCACCAGCAGATGTGGCAGGAGGTCAATGACATTTTTTCCTAAGGCTGAAAACTGAAATCTTCACCATGGAGACTGCATATTCTTTATTGGGTTAGAACAGAATATAGATAAGGTACATTGTTATGCGCTAACTAGTGTCTTCCAAGGAGACTTATCTAAACCCTAATCTCAGGTCCTTGAGAATGTGACCTTATTTAAACATAGGGTCATTGCAGATATAGTCAAGTTAAGGAACTTGAGATGAGATCATCCTAGATTTAAGATGAGCCCTGAGTCCTATGACAAGTGTCCTTATAAGGAAGGGTCAAAGGATGTTTTGGATGCTCATGAGAACACAAAGGCAGAGATTGGAGTGATGTAGCTACAAGCAAAGGAATGCCTGGAGCCACCAGAAAAGGCTGGAAGAGGCAGGATGGATCCTTCCCTAGAGTCTCTAGAGGGAGTGAACCCTTTTTGACACCTTGATTTCAGACTTATGCCCTCCAGAGATGTGAGAGAGTAAATATGTGTTGTTTTAAGCCACCCAGTCTTGGGTAATTTGTTGTGGCAAGCCAAGGGAACCCCCACACGCGTGTTCTTAAGGCAGATGGAGCACTCTGGCATTCTGCCCGGATTGTTTCTTTGGTTGAATAAACACATTTTCAAAAGCATCTTTACGCAATTACATCCAATTCCTCCTGATTTATGTAAGAACTTTTTGCATTATTTTTTAATGCTACTGAAACCATTAAAACTCAGACAGGGATCAGAGGAGGTGGGCTCCACTGTTCCTTATCCACAGGCCATGCCAAGTTCCTTTGGTCATGGAAGCTACATGCGGTGCACCTCCATTGCCAGCTCTCCTGGTCACACTTGCTGGGGCTATTCTGCCATTTAAGCCCTTCTCAGAGGAGTGTCCCTAACACATCAGCCATCTGCTCACATTCCTCTCTACCACCTCATCTTGTTTTCATCTCTTCTTTGCACTTACCAGGACTGCATCTCTCTGTATTCTTAGTTGCCAGAGGGTGCATGCATTCACTAGAGAGAAGTAGAGAGACAGAGACAGAGAGAAAGGGAGAAAGCATCTGCCACCCAAGGGTGTGGTTACACCACAGTTCCCTCTCTTCCATTTCTCCATCCTGTTGGGATTTGGGGCATGCAAGCAAATGGACCCAGCATGTTTTTTAAACCACCAGGGCTGAGATTCAAACCACTATCAGCCATGTGAGATCTGACTCCCTTAACCACTAGGCTATACACTAGCCTTGGAATGCACTTTGTATTTGTACTTTTTATCTATACCTCATGCTGTACTAGGAACCTCGTAGGGTCTTCACCATGTTTCTCCCTTTAGAATAGGCATGACTAGTACCCACTTAGCCTATGATGAAGGAGATAAGCATTAAGACTGGGGCCCGGGGCTAGCTTGTTCAGCCCTCAAACTTGTGGGGCTCCAGGGTTGATCAGCTGAAGGGACAACCTACAGTGAGGCAGACCTTCCGACATGAAAAATTTCCATTCTGGCCTAGTCTTGGATACATTGGTTCCCCCCTTATCCATAGTCTTGCTTTCTGAAGTTTTAGTTAGGTATAGTAAACTATGTTTTGATATTTTGAGAGAGAGCAACTGCATTCACATAACTTTTATTACAGTACATTGTTATAATTTCTCTATTTTATTATTATTGTTGCTATATATTTTATTAGTTATAATATTGCTATTATATATACATATTATTAGTTATTGTTGTTAAGCTCTTGCTGTGTCTAGCTTATAAATTAAACTTTATCATAAGTAGCTATGCACAGGAAAATGCATAGCATATATACTATATGTAGATTGTGAACTATCTACAGTTTGAACATCCACTGGCGGGGAATCTCAGAATGTAATATGTCCCCCACAGACTTGGGGGTAGGGGATAATTACTTAATGAAATGTTTTGTGGGAAAGAAATTAAGTAGAAAGAATATGCAGAAAGTTTGTGGGGAAGTGCTTCATATTCTGGGCCTAAAAGTTTAATCATTTCTTAAAGAAAACAAGCACAGATGGAGTCCATGGTCCTTGGGGCCTCTCCCCTCCCAACTTCATGAAGCCCACCCTGATGCACTGGGCCTTGTTGTCTCTTTAAACATTTAAGTTTGAGTTGTTGGCACCTGCATTCCCCACAGCACAGATAAACCCTGTTTTCTCAGCAGATATCTGGTCAAGAAGCTGTATAAAGTCGCAAGGAAGTTAGCAGGGCACTGAGTCCCAGAAGCCTCCCCGGGGAAGGACCAAATGGGCCACAACTGACTGTGCAGGCTGCAGTGGAGCTGCTGCAGGCAGGGGGAGGTCTCCTCTGACCCATGAGGTCTTGCCCTTCTCATCACTTACGAGTCCACATGCACTTTGCTTGGGACACCATGGTTTAGCACTCAAAGGTAAAAAGTGCCATACCCAAGAGGAAGGGTAAAAGATGGGAACAAGCAGTTAGCGTAATGGCTATGTCGCTGGACTCCCACGTAGTCGACCGCGGTTCGTGTCCCGGACCCCGTGGCTTAAAACTCACACCGGGCACGTGTGCGTGCGTGCCCAAGATCCCGAGAGGAGAATGAAGGAGAAGGGATTGTGGCGTGACCATCCCCCCTGGGGGGTGATTTCTCGCTTTCTGTCTCTATGTCTCTCTCTGTCTGTCTGCCGAGCGCACGCGCCCTACAGTGAAAA